TCAGTTTAAGAAGTCTTTTCAGCTACTCATGGGACTTAATGAACTGAAAACCTTGATTGTTATTCATAAAATTAGCTAGACACAGAGTAAACTGCAAGAGAGCAGTATTTCCTGGAACTTCCATTATTTCTTCTAAATGATAGACAATTATATTTGGGTTCTTTTTTTTTTTTTGCGCTAAACACTTTTAATTATATATGCTTTTTGTCATTCATAGCATCACAATGCAAACTCTTTGCTGTAAGAGTCTAAACTGATAAAAAGTCATCGCATTTCAATTAGACTTCATCAGTATCTTATTTCATGTAAGTGCACAAACACTTCCTTTCTGTGCTTTTTCTCTCTGAATTAACGTGAGGAGTGAAATCTTAGCAGCATGTTGACATAGGTGTGGCCTTGGTGTGCAAGTGTTCATGACATCAGGTGGAATCGCCATTCTTTCGAGCATATCAGAAAAACTGTAAAATAACATCTAGATATTTATTGAATATGATATTAATGAAGTAGCTACTTTGAGTGAGTGAAGAACTATCATTTAATCTGATGATGTCATACAGTGGCAATGTTTCTTTACAGCATATGTTGATAGGACAGATCTAACTATTCTGGTGCATTGCAAAAGCAGAAAGCTTTTCATTATTATTTATACTATGATCCTGCTACTCCATTAAATCAGTTTGTCTGCTTAGACTATCAGTACCATTGTAACTTCCATTGTCAGTCTATTTCTTTAGATATGAAAAAATGTCTTAAGTATAAAGCCATGTATAAAATTAGGATTGATACAGATTCAGATACTCATGCAGAGGTGGCTACAGGAAAGAGTTTGACACTGAACTCCCATGTGCATGAATTACTCCCATAGTTCATGCACAGACCAAAGTGTCACAAATTTGTGGACACTGTCTCTCATAATCAGAACTGAATCCACTGGCAAGAATCACACAAACAATAAGAAAAAATACAATTTCCTTAGAAAGAGAGACAGCATTTTCAAAGTTTGTGATGTAATTCTGTTTAACTTAGATAGCTTGCCATAGGCTCTGTATTACATTGTGTAGTAACATTAGCATCACTTGTCATTTGGATTATATTTATGGTTTGATTACAGATTTTCACCAAGATAAATTTGCAGCAGGCTGTGGAAGAGGTGTTATGAATTTCTTCATATCAGATTCTGACTAGTAGTTATATGAGTATATTATATTAGATAGACTCCTTTGATGTTTAAACCCTCAGCCCCTGTGCTCTCAGAACTGCTTCTTGTGAATCCTATATCTTAGGATCGCAAATGCTGCTCTGATACTAGTGTGAAGGATCAGAGTATTTCTTTTACTTCTCTTTTTATATGAATTCTGAGCCAACAGTTCACTTCTTACATGTAAAGGGAAATACAGCCATATCAGTGAAGCTTTTATTTTGCAGAATTTGTGGTAGTACTCGGTAGTTATCAATAAATAGAGAACAGATGTAGTCCTTGACATTTCCCATTGATCCTGGTCCCGTCACTGTCTAGGTAAGAACTTTAGCACAGACCATACTGTGGCTCTTTCTAGCCCACCAAACCATGTTTCTACTTTCAGTGGGAATTACAATCTGTGGCAGGGGGCACAATGCCTAAACTTTGCCACAACATAAAATAGAATCTAGTAAAAGCGTGCACTAACAGGCAGAAAGTACATCTAAGTCCTGCAGTTTAAAATTATCATAGAATCATAGAATGACCTAGGTTGGAAGGGACCTTAGAGATCATTTAATCCAACCTCCCTGTCATGGGCAGGGACGCCACCTCTTGACTAGACCAGGCAACACATGGGGACCGAGGAGGAATCGAACTCGCAACCTCAGTGTTGTCATTGTTGTCAGCACCGCACTCAACCCACTGACCTAACCAACCCCCTAATTCACTTTTTGAACCCAGAAGCCGTTCAGAAGTAACTGCTCATTGTCTGTGGCAAGAATAAAACAAAACATCCCATAATTCTCTGCAGTCTAGAATTCTATAGTTTTATTCTGAGATCATCTTCAGCTTTCCTGGGAAAGATTGTGGCAGAAGGAGTGGTCAATCTTGAGAAAAGAATGAAATTGCTTGTCTCTCTGTGGAAAGCTCTGGCTTTCCAGGTGGACTACAGATCTCATCACTGACATGAGAAGGGAGTAACAGCAAAGCACTCACTCTTTGGAAAATTGTCCTTTGTATGAATCGGGTCCAAAAGGGCTAATTTCTTTGTGTGAAATATGCACATAAAACAATGTGAAGTTACCAGCTATTAATCATTTTGTCTAGAGTCCGAGCAACTTTCTTCACAGGTAGAAGCTTCTGAAGCTTTTTCTTCTCAAACACAGCGAGGTGACAGGTGGTTCCTTTTCCCTTGTTTCCCTTGCAGTAACAAATCCCACCCCCTTTGCTGTATGACAGCAGTATTACTTTTATGAACGTGTACTCCTAGACTTCATCGTTCAGACAGTGCGATGGATGGTGTAAGAGACTGCAGAAAGGACAGAAGAAAGGAGATGGGAGGGCATGGAGATGGGATCCTGCAGGCAGCCCCAGGCACATGGTGAGGAGGCAGCAAGCCACGCAGACCTTGGAGGTGACCGGAATAACTTCTGCTGCACAGATGGGACAGGCAGAGATGGCTACCCCTCAGGAGGTTGTTCACCACAGCTTTCCCACATGGATAGAGGGACCCATTCTGTTGATTCAATGTTACCATCACAGTCCTTGTCACACTCATGATCTTTGACCAACTACTACTAATAAATTATACATGGTAACTGCCTGTCCACATCCCTGGTTAGGTAGCCATGGTGTCTCAAATACTATGTTTTACACAAGCAGAAGATAGCCTGTAATAACAGATATAACATAACAGATATAACAGATTTTTTCACAAGTCATTCCCAGTTCTTAGCTGCCACTGGCTTTGTTCTGCAGGCTTCAGGGAGTAAACTTATCATTGGATTTTGGGGAGTCTCCACTATTTTTTGACAAATTTTCCATTTCCATCATCTTCGGAAGTAACTTGTTTCTTTTTACAATTTCATCAAATTATTTCTGTAATCTCTCCAACAGGTCAATAAAAAAAGTAAATTGTTAAATGCTTAGAACTTGATTTCAAGCAGCCTGGAGAAAGGAGACGTCTTGAAACTTTTACATCGTACAGTGAAATCCCTTAGGTGCTGGTCTCCTTATCTTACAAGTTGTAGATCCTAAATAAAAATTTCCAGAGCATTCCGGGGTGTCAAGTCTCCACTCACCTATGTCTGAGCCATGACAGATGGTACATATAGTACTCAGTAGAACTTTGAACTGAAGCATGATAATACCTGTATAAAGCAAGCATTTGCTCTTTACATAACCTTTAATGAACATATCCAGAATCTTTACTTCACTCCTGCCATGTCTTTACCTGGACTGAAGTGCAGGAACAGAATCTTGTATTGCTACTGTATTTAAAAGGCAAGACCATTGGGCCATACCTGTCATTCAGTGTGATCCTACAATAGTGCAAAAGCAGATGGTTTGGTTTTGGTTTTCCTAATTCTTAGACTGATTTTGAGCTGGTCACGAGCTTGTGTTGAAAGACTTCGTCTCTTTGGGAAGCAATATAAACTCTTTAGTCAGCAGCTTCGTTACTAAATAAGTTGAAGTCTTATGTTCTCCAAGTTTGCATACCCTGGCCAAGTTACATATTAATTGCCCACTGTACACATGGAAGACATGGAGGTTGCACATATATATTTTGCACATATATTTTTTGGTCACATATGTGCTATTTTTCAAGTTGAAGCAAGCTTAATCACAAAAAAAAAAAAGCTATCACTTTTAACAAGTTGACATTCTGTCAGAAGAAAATTTCTGAAATTTCTAAAGTATGACTAAAATACACTAACATGTTCATAATTGGAATAAATATGATAGTTATAGAAGTTGTTAGATGCTATATTAATTGTCGTCTACACCCATAAGATTACATGTGCACTTTTTCTTACTATTTCAATTTTAATATACACTTATTGCTGTTTCAAAATTTAGTAATACTCTGTAGAACAAATAAACCTTCTTACTGTAGTTTCTCAAATTATTTCTACTGTTCGAAGTGAGCATAAAGTGCAGTAATTTTAGACATTGTTTATTGTTGCCTTTCTTCTCCTCCTTGTCTTAGCAGAATCATTAGGTGATTTTTGTGTGTCTTTATTACATCATGGCTGAAGTTAACTCAGGATGTTTTATATAAATCTGGGGTTTTTATGTTATAATATGCTGCTCAGAAGAGGGTAACAGTCCGAGAGAATCTAACTGAAACCTGTTCTCCTGGTTATCTCTCTTTCTGTAAACCAAATTGTTTCCTTCTTAACAGGCTGGAAACACCCTTTGAATAATTTATACATACTCCAATGTTACTGCGTGATATAATAAATGTATATGGTGCCCTATGGGTATCACAGTTGGATAGTTAAGCATATGCCAAGGACATTTCTGCTCGTATGTCAGTTTGGAGACAAATCTTGCTGCACCAAAGTAAAGCTAGCCTTAAGGCACCATATAAAATATTACAGATGACTGATTTATGAAGTGACAGTAACTAATGACAGAGAATAAACTCTCTCTTCTTTTAAGTCATGGCCTCATGTGAAAGCGTTGTCAGCAACCTGTCTAGTAAAGCTGCACAGCAATCGATATGGCTGGTCTCCATACTTCAGCAGGTGGTCTGCAGTGGTAATTTCCAGTAATCTCTGCACACTGTACTTCTTGGTGATCTCCGTGAGAGTCAGAAATTCTCAGCAGATGCCCAGGTTTTACTGCTAGAAGTTTAAAAGGGGACGTCTGCAGAGAATGTTTCTCCTTTTAGAGTGTGAAAGGGAATTTCCCGTACGACTACATTACAGCTACCTGCAAAGAGAAATTAAGTTCAACAGCACTGAAGCAGTTGAACCATGCTAGAAGTTTACAGACGTTAAAGAAAAAGTTAATTTTTATTTTCTTTTACCCACAGGTCTACCCACGGATAGCGCCGGCATTTTGGCACTACCTGCGGGTAGAAGTGAGTAGCGGGTATTTGAATACTCCCACATCTTTACTTTATAGCTTTCTAGTATTTACTGGCTTCCTAATTTGTCCATTGTGCAAAAATAATTAGCTACCATTCTAGCTGCCATTTTCTGTGAACGTAGTCTTGTACTAATTCCATATTGTTTTGACTACAGCATAGTTACTTACCCAAGTCACAAAGATGTGATGTGTTTATATCCAAGACAAAGAAAAATAAATCTTAGTCAAGGCCATATCATACATTATGACTATAGCACAAAGTCAAAGTACAGAAATCCATACCTGCACCTCCTTCTATAAACACATTTTACATTCATGAGCCGAATATGGAGCTTCAGTTCTGCTATATCATTTTTGCAAAGTTTGTAAAACTCAACTTGATATCATTTCTCCCCTCTTTTGTCCCTCAGGAGCATGAGCAGCTCAGCTATTCCTCCACAAGGTCCAAGGCTCCAAGTGTTATCATCACAGGTCTCAAGCCAGCCACCAAGTATATATTTCATATCAGAGTCAGGACGGCAGCAGGATACAGCGGCTATAGCCAGAAGTTTGAATTTGAAACGGGAGATGAAAGTAAGTTTCACTAAAGAAACAAAAAATCAAATACTGTAGAAGTAGCATCTAATTCTAAAACAGATATTGGGAGTTTGAATGGCTGAATCCATATGATTTGCTTACAACAAAATGACCATACTTACGTAATAAAAACCAATTAAACCTCAGCCTCATACTTCTGGATTTATAATAGCGAGTAGAAATTTTAGCCCAACGTTGCAGCTGAAGGAATGTTTTCTACTGCAGAATTTCCTTGTGGGTCCTTCCTAGCCTGACATATTCTATGATTGTATCATCCTTAAAAAAGGCTTAAAAAAGGCCTTGATTTTGACTTCTAGAACGCCTTTGGTAAAGCTTTCTGTAAGTCCAGCAGCTTCATGCAAGCTCCATCACTTTTGTTAAGTGATGGAGTCTTTTCCCTGTAGTTGTTAGTGCTCCCAGACTCTACAAATAAAAAGATGAAAAGTTTTATGTGCATTTCCATCAACCAGTAAGCCTACTAAACTTGCCGGTAAGAAACAAAAAGCCTACATATTCCTACAGAATATGCAAAAAGGCTTGATGCTATGTGTGATATTCATGCTCTGAACAATTTCGTATTTAAGTCATGTATTGCCCTCCATGTTTAAAGAAACTGCAAAGTATTTACAAGCATTTGAAATAAAATTAGTGTGGTAGAAAAAACACTAAACACTCATTAATGAAATTACTTTAATTAACTAATTAGGTATACCATGCTTTTCATTAGTGTTTTAGTATTCAAGTTGCTTAAGCTAAAGTGCAGACTGTAAACTACGTAAGTGTTTTCAAGAGCACCCATGGGTTTGTGTTTCATTTCCATTGCTTCTTAACTTCTATTTCAAAAATGTTTTAGGGTTAGAATTCCAAGTGCTTAATGCCTGATTGGACTTATAAAAAATTTCTGGGTACTTAAGCCAATTGGTTTGTATAGAAGTTGAGTACTTGGTTGCTTTGAAGAGTTCTCTCAGATCCTGTGTGCATCTTCTGATGCAATAAATAATAGGCTTTGGGCATCCAGGGATGTAACTCTTATCAAAAGTAAATGACATTTAAAATTCTGTGAGCCTGTGCCATATTTGTGACAATGTGACTTACCCATCTAAATCAGGAAGACTGGTTCCAGTGACGTTTCTCTTACTGATGTTGGTGATAGAAACATCTCCTGGGAGTGACTCCACCGATTCCTTCCCTGCCCTGTGTCGTCTTCTCAGTTGCGCTAATGCAACTGGCTCTTGGGCTGCACGGTGAGCTAGAGCTCACAACACTTACACCTCTATTAGTTCTAAGTACTCAGTGTCAATACTGATAGTGAAACATAAACACACATTATATATTTGCTGTTTACCAGTATTTATTGCTTAAACTTGTGCCTGAAGTATTGGATTTGTTATAAATCATGTGATTGAAAGGAAATGCAGACAGAAGAGTGGTTTTTCTGTGATCAGTTGAGATGGAGTTCAAAAGAAATTCTGCTGCTGTTTGAAATGGTACCTGGAGCTAGATAAAGCCTTTGGTTTAATTAAAAGGGTAGTTCAAAGGACTCTGGTCTTATTCAAATATTTCTATAATACTGCTTTAGGTTTTAAAGGGAAAAAAAAGTGAAGAGCCTGATGGTAAATATTATTTACTTCAAACTTAAGCGGTACTCAGTGACCACTCAAATGGTGCCCTTTAAAGCAATATCAGATTATTATGATCGTCCATTTGTACCGCTTTCATGACACAGGACAAATGAGTGTAACGCTGTAACAATTTCAGACAGCTAATGACAATAAATTGACATCTGTCAATATACAAATATATCTACCACATTATCTACCATATACAAATAGTCTTAATTTAAAGTCTTTTGGCAATAGGCAGCTCACCATATTTACACATAGACAGCACCAGTGCTTAAGCCTCATAATTAAAAACTTACACCTTATTTCTAGCCTGATTTTTTATTTAGCTTGTACCTTGTGACCCTTCTCTGCCAAATTAAAAAGCCAAATACTATCAGAAGTCTCCTTATCTAAATGTGTATGCCATTTTTAATAATTCTTGTCGTTCCCATAAGTGATATAAATGCTCTCTCTCACTCTAAAAGTCCAATTTTTTCCAAAAATTGAACCTTTTTGTATCTCTCCAAAATTTGAACATCCTTTAAAAGTATAACAGCAGAGATTAACTTGATACAACTGGAAAACTAAATCTGTTTATGATGCCGTAAACATACCCAACACCACTTACCTCCTTATCATCGAATTTTTTTGTAGATCTAAGCACTTGCCGCCTGAACTAGAGTAGTGTCTAGGATTTTTCTTTAAAGTGGTAGACAAGTTGTAAAATACTGATGGTTCGTCAACTGTGGGATGTGTATATCAGTCTCCTACAACATTTTGTCCTTGGCAGGACAGTGCTGTCACACCTTCTGCAATTTGCTGGTCACACTATCTGCTGCACATCACTGGTATAGGATAAAACCAGATGCATCATTATTGGGAACACTAAGACATTTTGGTATAATTATCAATCATGGTGCATGAGGCAGAAAGGAGACCAACTCTGTAGCAGTCATGAAAAGATTGAGCTAATCATGCAGTGATGATCTGGTTTTTGGGAATAACCAGTAGCCTGGGGCAGCCATTGCTTGGGAGCATGTTGTTATTAAATTCTTCTCCCTGCTGCAGAGATCAATAAATGGAACATCTAAAAGAGTAAAATTTGTGCTTTCTTTGTCAAAGGAAGTGGAGTTACCTAGGAAAATCAGAAAGATCCTCTTCAACGAAGCAGGGATGGATGAATGGATGTTGCCAGGAATTTATTCCACTGTTAAGAGGGTGCTGCTGAGAAGCGTAATAACCTTGCAAAGTGTAGTAACTTCTGCTTTTGACCATGTTCCTTATTGCCATTATCATCCCATGTCATTTGTTCCAGGGCAAATATGCTTTAATCTCTATCTGTATTCTCTCTCCTTCTCTATTTTTCTCTCTCTTTCCTCTAACTAGCTGTTTACAGAAGACATTTGTTTGTTTGTTTATTTTTTAAAAATTCATGATTCAAAGCATTATTTTTTTTTTCTGGAGGAATGATTTTCACTGTGTCATGTCAGAGGCCCTTGTGCCTAAAGGAATTTGTAAAATATTGAACAATTTAGAGCTGTTAGGCAGTGCTGTGTTTTAATGCTGTATCTCTCTTGTGCAGGGCTTGTTCTAAAACTAAGGGCATTTTCCATGTCAGCCTTCCTGTCATTAGGGAAAAAAAAATTAAAAGGGAACTAGTTGGCTTGTTCCAGAAGGTACCTAAGGGACAGAATAGTATGTGTGCAGTGTGGACTAGTGCTTTGGCTGAACAGAGTGATAAATGTAAACATGTGATGATTTTTAATCCAAAAACAATGTAGACTTTTGTATACTTCAAGTAAGTCACATGAACAGTTAACAAAAAATGAAATCAGAAAAGCTAATAGCATACCTGTTTAGGTATTTTATAAATTTGAGGACTATGAAAAATTATTTGGCCTGATTTTGATGAAACAGTAACTTGAATTTCTTTACCTTAGTCACAGATGGTGACTTTCTTGTATTGCCAGATCTGCTGAATTCTTACATTCTTCCTTCTCTTCCCACATCCACAAAATCTACACTTTTCAGCCTCAAAACATGCTAGTTTGGATTTGCCAGCAAATGTGATTTAAACCCTGACCTGCATTCTTTCCAGGACTCCAGAGCTCAAGAGAGGCATCTTGAATCATTGATTCTCCAACAAATGAATGCAACAAAGCTTGTGAGGTCTCTAGAGAACACGTCTTGTGAGGGAATTGAGTTTGCTTAGTATGGAGGAGGCTGAGGGGAGACTTCATTGCTCTCTACAACTACCTGAAAGGAGGTTGAAGTGAGGTGGATGTTGGTCTCTTCTCCAAGTCACTAGCAGTAGGGTGAGAGGAAATTGGCTCCAGTTGCACCAGGGAAGGTTTAGATTGGATACTAGGAAAAATTTCTATACTGAAAGAGTGATGAAGCATTGGAACAGGCTACCCAGAGAAGTAGTGGGGTCACCATCCCTGAAAAGTTGTACATGTGGCACTTCAGGACATGATTTAGTGATCATGGTAGTGTTGGGTTCACAGTTGGACTTGATGATCTTCGAGGTCTTCTCCAACCTTAATGATTCTTTGTCTCATATTTAGAAACTATCTTGCTGGATCTCTCCCCATGTCTGCCTAGTCTTACTGTTCATTCATTTGTAGCACTGGATAACTCAGAGTGTCTTATTTTAATCTTGAAGCATTTCCTTACTGTGTTTTATGTTTTCAGCCATTTGTTCTTCAAATCTGACTTTGACCCATCTGATTTCTCTGCTGTGTGTGCCCAGAAGTCCCAGAGACTTTGCTTTTCCTCTGCATTTCCTATACAAGAGCAACATTCTTGCTTAGTTCTCGCTTAGAAGAACGCTTAGAAGAAGGCTTTTCAAGCAAATAAGTACAAAAAAAGTTTTAAATTCCTATGCTTGTGATGACATTATTTTCCCTTTTAAAACCCCTTTTTAAGATTGCCTTTCCATTGTCTCCTTACTTCATTCCTCATTAGATTGGAGCCCATGAGCTCACCAGAGCACAGCAACTGCAGCACTTCTGAAAATGTAAAGGTTACCCTAATTAGACCTCATATTTTTCTTTCTTTTCTTAAGCACTGTTGTTTATAACACCTTGTAAATCCGTCTGACGTCCAGTTCCTGTCTATTAGAGCTCCAGTTCTCACTGTCCACACTTACCTATCTTACAGCTACTCACTGGTATCTGTCTAGCTGTCTTTCTGTCACTTTTTAATCTTTCAGTCAGCTGGAAGGTCTGCTGCCTTATAGATGTCAACGTGAAAAAAACAAACGATGTAGCTAAGAGGCAGAAGTGAGCTGTCATCAGAGGCTCCAACCCTTCTATACCAAATACACAACATTTTAAAAGATTTTGGAGAAATTTGCTAAAAGAAAAGAAAGAACACAGCTAGAAGATTCTCTCTGTCTTTCATCTCCTTGGACCGTGACTCAAACATCTGCAGCACTTCTTCCAGTCTGCCCAGAGAGGAAGTGAAGAAGCATCAGCATATTTCCCTTAAGACCAGAGAGGAGGGAATGTGCAACACCTTATCCACACCTTTGAGTGAATGTTGAGGGTTAGGGCTGGGCCGGCCACTAAACACTGCCAGATGCTCTCTAACCCCTCTCCCTCCCCAAACGGGAGGGGAAAGGAATGAGGCAGAGAGACTTACAGAGAGGGAAAGAAAACTAAAACAGCTTTAATAACACAATAATAAAAATAGTTAACTATATACAAAATATATGCAAAACTGATATCAGACATGACTCCCCCTTCTCGATAGCAATCATCATTGATGCTGCAGAGCAGGCAGCACTGGGGAGGCCCTAGGCTCAGCAGCAGAGGGGAGCTGGATACAGGAGCTGGATTCAGGAACTCAGGATCAGGATCAAAGGCAAAAAATCGGAAAGAGTCCTCCTTGGACATCAATCATTGAAGAAGAGTCCTTAACCTCTGTGATCCCTCAGCTTTAGACTGAACATGATGTATACAGAATGGGATACTCTTGCTGGTCACCTGTCCTGTCTGTTACTCACTGGAGATGCAGCCTTTTACTTCTTTGTGACCCCTTTTAGTCCTCAGCACCCCCAGCGTGACACACAAGATCCAGCAGTGACCTTGGTCACTACAGAAGCAAGTATAAGCAAGAGCCTTTCTGCATACCAGTCCCAGGCAGTAACTGTAAACACCAGGTGTTAACACTTCCAATAGCAGACACTGTCTGCAGAAACATGCTGCTAACTTCAGAAAGTGCAGCGTCTCAGAAGAGACTGAGCTGAAAAGTAAAATCATTGTACAGAATTGGTCTGGTATAGCTCAAACCAGGACAGTGAAAAACCCAGAGAGAAGCTGAGACAAGATGTGGATGTAAGAGCAGATTATAGACAGAACTGACAGCAGGCTGGGTGCAGAAGGGATTTCTGGTCATGCTGTTAAGCAAGGAAGCTGGAATGATGCAGTTAGATGCTTTAAATGTCATTTCAGGCATATAATCCTAGTTAAGCATGAATAGTAACAGGAGTGAAGAGGTTTTGGATACATGTACAATCCACACTGCAGTTTTGAAATGAAGTCACCACTTTGACTAGACACATTAGATGCAGCTACAGTGTGTTTGAAGAGTTTTGAAACCCAAACATTATAGTATACTGTCTAGTCATCTGCTGGGATAATAATAGGTCCTCCTTTTCCCTTGTCTTATGCTATTCATTTTTTAAAATACGTTTTTGTCAAAATGAACTTATTGAGCAGTCAGGCGGAGAGAATGAAACATTCTACGAGACAAAACAGCCAGCCCAGATAGGTAGCTAAGCTTCCTTATGAGTCGTATCACCGCTACTGTTTTACATACTACTGTTGCATCAGCACTTCCTCAACCCCTTGCCTATCAACTTTGTCAAGTGGAGTATGGCCCCATACATGACACAGCTACATTCATCCCTGTGATCCCAGAGCCTAATCATCCCTGAACTGGAGAAATTTGGGTGGCACGTAGTTGGCAAATATTGAATCATGCACTGGACAGTGTAGAGACAACAAAACACTGATTTTATCTATATGAATGCTCACCATGTGCCTAACAAATGAGACTCTGGAAAAAAATGCTATATACTTCTATGATTAAATGCAGAACTCTAATGTGTACACACAAAGAGATGAAATAAGGTTGCATGAACTTGCTTGGCTTTGCAAGCTACCGTAACTGTCTTTCAAACTGATTTTTTCTGTCTTACATAATGAAGAATAGTCCTAGTGAGAAATACAAGGATTTTGTACCAATATGCATAGCTGATGGACAGGGAAAAACAAAGGAAGAAGGAGCAGGAAACTCTTAACAAATGTTCAGGAACATACACAACAGAAACAACACATGTTAAATCTCTTATTATTTGCAGCTTGAATGTTACATTAAGAGAAAGCTGGAGAAATGAGAAAAGAACAGAGAGACTGAGAGACATGCTGAATGTAATTTAGAATTACAAAATGCTATAAAAAAATCTAATTACTGAGTGCTCTTGATTACTATCTTCTAAATAGTGTTTTATGGAATCTTTTACCTGTATGTGAAGAGTCTGTTTATGCGCATACACTAGTGCTTATATATGTGTTGTTCATTGCACTGTGCCTTTATTGATTTCTAGAAGGATCACTTCAAGCAAAAATAAGTGTTTCCATCATTGTGCCTTACCTGCCTCTGTCAGTTTTTAACAAATGCACATTTTCCAATTATACTTGTCTGTCATTTGACATTTTTATCTGACAAGTAAATTAAGGTCATCAGGAAGTTTCAGGCTTGAAAGCCTCTTATAATGATTTGGCTACTTGAAAAAATAAATCCTAATGTATTGAACTCTGGCACCTCTGCCAACACAGTAAAACACAAACAAGAGAAACAGAATGATAACTTTTAAAGTATGTAGTCTCAACTAAGAATTGTATTGCTTAGAGGGGGAATGAACTAAGTCAGTTCGGAAATTCTCCCCTTCATGAATTTAACTATATTCTAGATAGAAAATATATATTATTAAACTGATAGATTACATTCTGTTTTAGCTAAAACATTGCTCCATTTGGCAGAAATTATCCAGAACACATGACTTTCTTCATCTTGATAGCTACAGAGTGCTTACTTGGACCATGGAATCAGTCTCTACATTTGCACCTTTAATTTGCATGAAGAAAGGCTCCTTAGCAATGATCCGTAGAAGAAAAACACAGCTAATTTATCTGAGCCCATGGTTTGCTTTTTTCCTGCTTAA